CTGAATATTGGAAGGACTGATGCTGAAGCTGAAACTCCGATCCTTTGTCCACCTGATATGAACAACTGACTCATTGGAAAAGACCTTCTTTCTGGGAAAGATTGAAGGAAGGAGGAGAAGGGGATGACAGAGGATGAGATGGGTGGATGGCATCACTGACTCAATGGACATGAGTTTGAGTAAACTCCGGGAGCTGGTAATGGATAGGGAGGCCTGGCATGGTGCAGTCCATGGGGTTGCAAAGAGTCAGACATGACTGAGTGACTGAACTGAACTGAACTGTGGCTGTAGATAAATTGCTGAGCAACTTGTTTGGGGACAAAGAAATGTCTGAGGTCAGGAGAGCAAACAACTAATGATGCTTTACTTTGTCCGCAAAACATCAAGATCGATATGCAGGACATGTGACATTTATGGACAACTGTTTTCTTTTCCCTCTAGAGGAGGGAGAAAATACTGGATGGTCCCTTTCTTAAGAGCAGTAGAATGATTGCTGCTTTTTGATACAGCTTTTGCTGCTCCTTCCCACCAACTGGCAGTATTAATTTCCTGTACTTCAAATGCCAGAATTCAAATAATTAGAATTTTTTTGCATGCATATCTAGCTTCATTGTTTCAACTAGCCAAAACTTGGGGACAATGTTATAAATCATAGTGAACAGAGCTAGTTCTGGGAGGCTGTGAGAGGCATTAGAGATCCATGATATATTCATTAAAATTAGGTCTCTCGTGGGAAAGAAAAAAATTAGGTCTCTCATGAACAATTAGGAAGAACTCAGAAAGAGAAAGCCTGATCAATGTCAAAGTTTTGGGCTGAAGTAGCTTTTCTTCTCGTTCTTCTACCGAAAGGACAGAGGACAGAATTTGGAAACTAGATTATCATCTCAGGAAGTCAATGAATTTTGCAGCTTAAGAGGCATCTTTGTCAAGAGACACAGAATGAAAATGTACATCTCCCTAAATGGAGAAGGAAGTGATGTGAATATGGTACTGACTTCTCTCTTCTTGCTTAGAGTGAGAGGAGAAGGAGGTCTCACTCTTTTCATCAGCCGTCTTAGGGTCTGAAGATCCTAGATCATTTTTTTTTGCATCCTCGTGAGTCCCTTATTCACACAACCTTAAAGCATTGCACTGAAACCATCCATGTGCTATTCTAAAACCCCACAAATTTCTGAAGTCAAGATACTAAATCTTTAAAGTGAATGCTGAGGCTTTTACAACTAAAAAAAAAAATCTATTTTAATTGCAAGTCAGTTAGATCAATTATAGGTGGTTTTGTTTAGTTTTTTAATTTTTTCAGAGAGAGAGAAGCATTTTCTCTTTGACAAATTATTTTCTGACTCCCAGCATGTTGTCAGGCTTTCCCTGCCCCGCTGAGAATGTGTGGGGTTCTGTGTTCCCCAGCAGACTGGAAGGTACTAGCCTTCTCCATCTACCAGCAGCAGAACAACGCACAGGTCCTTCGGAAAGCGGCATTTCAGCTCAGCGCATATTTCAGGGCTGCTCTTGAGACGGGAATCAGAGTTCTTGTCCACGGACCGGAAGGATGGAATCCACAAACATGCAGACACTCATGGTAGCAAGTGAATAGGATTTATTAAAGAGGAAGAAAGTATAAAGCTCGCAGCATAGACACTGAGGGGGTAAAGAGTCCCCTGTAGGTGATTTTAATTACCAAGGACAGTCTCTCTAAAGATACAATGTATTTTAAAAGTGAAGAAAATCATCACTTCTCCTGAACAGTCAAAGGAATCACTTCTAATCAGATATCAGGGCTCATTGTGACATCTGCTCACACACCTCAAGATAGAATAGAAAACAGGATTAAGATATGAATTTCTGAAAATAAGACCTCAACCATCTACAACAAATAAGCAACAAGGACCAAGAAAGGCAAATACCATGCACACAAATTTAATTATCCTTGTCATAACAGAGTTAATGAGCTTAGCCAAGTCATCTTACTGCAGTGCATTCCAAAATACCACTTCCTGCATTATGTCACTTTATTCCATATCAAACATAAATATCAAAGGTTATCTATCCTTAGGTTGCTTCCATGTCCTGGCTATTGTAAATAGTATTGCAATGCACACTGGGTGCCTGTGTCCTTTTGAATTATGGTTTTCTCTGGATACAACCTAAATGTCCATCAAAAGATGAATGGATAAAGATATATATATATATATATATATATATAAAGATCTATATAATGGATGGACCTGGAAATGATCATACTAAATGAATTAAGCCAGACAAAGAAATAAAAATATCATATGATATCGCTTATATGCAGAATCAAAAAAAAAAGATACAAATGAACTTATTTACAAAACATAAACAGATTCACAGACACAGAAAACAAACTTGGGTTACCAAAGGGGAAGCACGGGGAGGATAATTGAGGAGTTTTAGATTAACACATACATACTATATGTAATATCTATATAGTTATATCTGTATATAAAATAGACCTCTGTATATAAAGGTATATCTGTATATAAAATAAACAACAAGGATTGCATAGGGAATTATATTCAATAGTTTATAATAATTTTTAAGGGAAAAGAATCTACATATATATAAAGAGAAAAGGATCTATATATATAATCTATATAAAGACCCTATAATCTATATCATATATATATGAATATAGATATGTAAAGAAATATACATAACTGAATCACTTTGCTGTATATCTGAAAATAACAAACACTGTAAATCAACTATACATCAATAAAAAAACTGCATGTCTTCTGTTAGCATTTGAAGCCTTTCTTAAAATCTATTTGACTTCCAAAGTAAGGATAAATAAGTTAATTCAAGTATTGATGGCAATTGATGCTGTATATTTAATTGTATCATGTTCAAGGCAAATCTCAGAAGCATAAAGTTATATCTCTCAAGATTTTTTTTTTAATTGAGTATAATTATTTTGTTTTTCATGGTCCCATGAGATAAAATTAAGTAAGAAACTCATAACTGAATTCTTGCTATTCACAATGTTTCCATTGGGTGTAGCTATGATATTAGAGAGGTTAATACCACAGCCTGCTTATTCAAGGAAGGATGCTCAGATATGTGGGGGATTTGTAAACTCCGGGAGTTTGTGATGGACAGGGAGGCCTGGCGTGCTGTGATTCATGGGGTCGCAAAGAGTCGGGCACCACTAAGCGACTGAACTGAACTGTCTTTAGTATTAAACTACATGAGTCAGCTGTATATTCCATGGGTTAACATAAAACAATTTCAAATCAAACACATCAAGATGGATTTCACCGCCTTTTTCCAAAAAGGAAGAATTGTACAAAACTGAGACCTGTATTAAAACTTCACTCAACAATAATTCCACCTAGTTTACTCATTCTTGCATTTTTCTAATAGAATCATGTAATTCACATCTAGTTTGAATGCCTTCTGTATGTAGACACCTGTAGGATAAAATGAGATGAATAAGCAGAAAACCCTTTAACAATGCAACTCCTTTACTCAGTGATGGGTCTGAGCAGAGTGTCTTTAAATATCTTTTATCTTAAAGGGAAAAAGAAAAAGTATTTCTCCTAAAATGCAAGGGCAGCTGACTTGCTGAGATGAAAACTGCTAACTCTTTTCCTAACAACACCATATGTCTCCAATTGGATCATAATGCAGCTAGTTCTCAGGAGAATGTCACGCATGGAAACTAACCAAATTGAGTCACAGCTTCACTGCTGACTCATGATTAACCAGGGGTCGTGCTTTGGGATTTTTCAGAGCATCCAAATGCCAATCCAAATGGCCTTTCTTCTTTCCCAAAATTCTCCCCAAACTTACCGTGCCATAAAATGAACCTGATCCTGCCAGAAAACTATGTCTTTTTTTTGTTTAGACTTCGTTTTCTATATAACTCAATATATTTTAAAGAACCAAAATGCTCAACCCGTAAATGCTTTAGCCATGGGTTTTAAATAGTAGATACTTAATGCAGCAAACATTACAAACATGCAACATAAAATTATCAAAAGAAAAAGACTGAAGAAGTCACATTTTCCCCCTGAGAATCACTGAAAATAAAACACTAACAAACAAACATATATGAGTCAGATATTTCCTTATCTGCTATTCTCTTTTAGAACTTCACTCAACATTTAATATTTTTATGCAGAGTAAGATGTATTTTTTCTTCCAGTTTTATTGAGATATGAGTAAGATATTTTAACCTACTTAATACACAATACTATTCATATATTTTTCTTAAAAATTAATATCATGTCAAGGCAGTCCTTGTATCACATTCTGGTACATATGATATATTCTTTTGCATTGATTGTAATTCTTAATAGCATAAAGTTATATCATCTTATGTGTCAAATATTGAGAATTTTGCCTTCAAAAATATGAAATGCCCTGAAGTAGTCTAAACTGGTGCTTCCTAGATTATCTCTGATGAATGAGTGTACTAAAAAAATTTAATGTGCATTTGATATTTTTGTACTACGTGAAGTTATGTGCTAAGATTTCATGATAATGTCATATTGCTATAAAAGTTTCTAAATGCTCTTTCTGCCTTTCTGCATTTTTCTTGTCATGGGCTGGTAAGAACTGTTTGGGAACTGGTCTCAATCTATGGATTCCACTGTTGTTATTATTACTATTTTTACAATATGTCACTCACTGTTCAGATATTTTACAAAATAGAAATCAGGATACCAATATTAATGATATGCATCACAAACTTTCTTCATGGCAAGTGCATTTTAAACTATTCTTTGCAATTTTCCTTCTAATTCACTTTAAGGAATTAGTAGCAGAGATTCAAAAAGACAGGCCAAAGATGAATCACCAAGAAGCTTTTGGTAGTTTTGAGAAAGATGAGTTGCACAGTATTAAAAAAAATACATATTTATAAAGGCAAAAATTTTCCTCCCAGTGGAGGAAACTATGGGCCTTACCATGTACTCATTCTGATAGCAGCAATGAGCCTAGGTATTATTTAATGATTACTTTATGGCATTTCTTACCTGGGATTCCTGGTGGTGTTTTCAGATATTTTCCATTAAAATGTTGAATTACCACTTCACATTTTTCAGTAGACTCCATTCTGGGGAAAGAAGTAAACAGGGGATTATATACTTTCATGAAGTTGTACATATCTAGGAAAAATAAAAAGAGAAGGAAATAAGAAAACCCTAGACAAACTTCATTTGAGAATTTTACCAGAATCGCCACCAGTTGCCATGACCACCATAGCGGATAGACCAGCACAAACCTGTTGCCGCCAAGAGCAAGGCTGACTCTACTGAAGGCTGACTGTGTGGACGGCTCTGTGTGGAGTCCTCACTCAGACATAATCCAGAGGCATCACCTTATTTAGTCCGTATGACATCTTATTTAATCCATACAACAATTTAATCCGTACACTCAAAGGGCTCAGTTAACACCTTTTGAGTGTCTGAGTTAGCAAACTTGAGAGGCGGTTCCTGCTGTTGCCTTTCACACCACAAGGCCGGCCAGGCTTAGCAAGACGAACGGCCTTGGCGGCGTGTGGCTGAGGTGGGCCTGTAGCGGAGGCCTGGGTGACACCCACCTGCATTGCAACTACTAAGCTATACCTTGAGGGTCTCCACAAAAGAAGGCGAGGGAGTGTGCTGGCTTTAAGCCACTGGCAGGCTGAGGGAGAGACTCATACAGTAGTGTTGTCTGTCATCACGATGCCATTTCATGCTTGCATCATGACACCTTTATTCAAAATCCATGAGGGGACAGATACAGAAGGGAGCTATTTCCGGTACCAAATGTCTTAGGAAAATAAACATACACAAACCTCAGGTCCTGAACTTTCTTACTTTCGAATTTTAGATAACCTCCTATTTCTTCATACTAGGTATATCAATAGGGCAGGTTTCTTTTGCTGAATTTTGGCATCTCACATAACAGCTAATGAACAATATTTGGGACCATACCATCACACTGGCAACATTAGCAGTTGGGTCTCGTTTGAGGCTGGCCTGCCTTCAAGCCTCAAGGGCATACGTTCCTTTGCTTGCTGAATAAAACTGAGCTGTAACCAAGCTGTAACACTGGTCCGCTATTTCAAAACTTTGCTGCAGTGAGACAGAAGCAAGGAAATTACACAGTCCCCTGACATGGCTGGTGCCGTGTCGTGTTTAACCTGGCTGGAACAATCTCAGCCTGGCCCCAGCAAGGTGGAGACCAAGCTCAGCAAAAGCCCAACTTGGCGAAAGTTCACATGATAAAAGCTGAATGCAAAGGAATCCCAGCGCGATGGAAGAGACAAGAAGCCTAACATGATGGGAACTGGGACAACAAAAACAAACCTGGAAGAAAGCTCAGGCAGCTCAGTCTCAAACTCCAGAAGACCTCCAGTTAAGGTCAGCAAGCCACAACTTGCCGTGCCGACTCAACAAGGATACACAAAACTACACCCAACCACGGAAAATATCAGTCACCCTTAGACGGACACCGCTATAAGGACTCTGAGGCCTGAGACTAGCAAGCGGGGGAGCCCCAATGCCCCTCACCATTGCAGCTCAGCAGGAAGTAGCCAGAGAGACCTCAATGCCTCTATTCCCAAAGAATTGGGCCTCCCATCTCTTGAGGCAAGGATGTTAAGTAATTAGAATAGGAAAAACGAGTCCAGAATGGTGGTGGCTAAAAGACAAGAAGGAAAAGCCTGCAAAAATAGAACAAAGGAAGGCCCAAGGACTGGAGTGAGGACCTCAGGTAAAACAAACAGCACTCTTGGCTAGCCCAATTTACATAACACAGGCCCAGAGGGAGGAAAATCATATAAAAAGAGGAACCAATATTGGGCTGGGGGCCTCTCTCTCTTCTCCTCATGTCTTTTGGGTCGGCATGCCCTCACACCTCGAGGATGTATTTTCCTTTACTTTCTAAATAAAACTGAGTCATAACACGGAGCTGTAACACTGTTCCATCTGAGGGCTGTAACACTGGTCTGTCCAAGGGCTGCAACGCTGGTCCATCACTTCAAATTTTTGTTGTGACAAGACAGAGCTGAGGAAATTACAAACTCCCCCAACAAGCACACACATGGTAGACGTCTGCTTCTGAAACTACTAGAAGATGCTGATTTAGTTCTGAAGTCTTTTTAAAACTTAAAAGGCATTAAAAGTGATATATATATATGTGTGTGTGTGTGTGTGTGTGTGTGTGTATAAATTTTCTCTATATATATATTCTATATATATGTGTGTGTATATATAAATTTTCTCATACACACACACACATATATATATATATGAGAAAATTTATCTGTTGCTGCAATTTCTTTTAAGCTAATGCTGAACTTCATTTTCAACTAATCATTTCACATGCTTTCAACTGTTCCTTATATTAGAATAACTGATTTCTATAGTCTCTTTTAATTTCCTAAGCCAAAAATGGACTAAACAATTAAACATCAACAGCAACCTTAAATTCAATGAACATAAAAGTGAAAAACCATCACGCCTAATGAAGTTCATTATGACCCATCCCCTTCTGGGTTTTTTTTTTTTTTTTTTTTTTGAGAATGAAAATAAGAATCAATGCCTAGTAACCTACAGTAAAATCTGCAAATTCTACTCCATTAAATTCCTTTCAACATTGTTGTACCCAGGCCATTTTATCAAAACAGAAAGAACCTCCACCCAAAACTTGGTTTGAATGNTTAGAAAATATCACATATATTTTATTGTGCTATGCAGTAGGACCTTGTTGTTTATTTATTTTATATATAATAACGTGTCTTTATTAACTCCTAATTTATCCCTCTATGCATCTACCCCTGTAACCATAAGTTTGTTTTCTATGTCTGTGACTCCTCCTGTTTGACAATATAAGTTTATTTGTATCATTTTTTTAAGATTCAAGTTCTATGTGATACTGCATTTGTCTTTCTCTATCTGGCTTACTGCAATTAGTATGATCATTTCTAGATTCATCCATGTTGCTGCCAATGGCCTTATTTCATTCTTTTTTTACACTGAGCAATATTCCATTGTATATATGTACCACATCTTCTTTATCCTTTCCTCTGTCAGTGGACATTTAGGTGGTATATGTGTCTTGGCTATTGTAAATAGTGCTGCAATTAACACTGGGGTGCACTTATCTTTTTGAATTATGGTTTTCTCTGGATATATGCCCAGGAGTGGTACTGCTGGCTCACACAGCACCTCTATTTGAAGATGTTTTCAAAAGCACATTCCATTTGGGGTGCTCTAATTATTTTACGATTCAAATTTAAAAAAGAATATTTTCGAAGGTACATACACTCCTAGGAACCATAGAGAGCATGCACATTTTCCTGCACTGATGCAGACGGTGAACCGGAGCAGGACTTACATCGAGGGTGTGAGACCTGTGCATTGCTGGAGCCCTGAGCCTGAAAAACGCCACTCGATTTAAAGCTCCGCTGTCACTGTCAATACATTTTAAACAAGGGGGTCTTCTATTTTTAATTTTCACTAGGACCCACAAATTACATAGCTGGTCCTGCTCAGACGAGAAAGCACAGGAAATTAATTTGACATAATATTCACATATCAGATGCCCAGTGGATCCACATACTGTTATTTGGAAGAACATCTGAAGAGTGACTCACTTTTGTGTCCAAATGCAAAAGGAAAACTCTTTAAGCTTAATAATACCCAATGTTAACTAATAAAAACAAAAATGGCAATTTGTTCGATGTCTAATCACAGTGTCAACTACAAACTGGCACTTGCCACCTAACTCCGTAACATTTAGATCAGGTGCTGCTGCAGCTGCTGACGTTCAGACCCCCCTGAAAGGAGTTGAAGGTGAAGAGCAGAAATGAGGCACCCTGTGCTGGAACAAAAACTGACAGGGTAAGTCTCCAGACAGCTAGTTTCAGGAACTGACATTATCAGCCCAGGGCTATCTCCTCATATCTGCAAAAGCACTGAAATCTATCATGGAGATGACTGCTCCTTGTGACTAGCAAAATCTGCAAAAAATGCATGCTTGATAGCATATGCTGCCCCTTCACCAAGATCACGTTTATACTGACCTTCCCCTCTACATCTTTGGAGCAGTGTCCCAGAGCTACCTGAGGTGCTATTCCTCGGCTGCCGTCCTCAATTTGCCCCCAAATAAAACTTAACTTGCAGCTCTCAAATTATTTTTTTTTAACTCAACAACAGATTTCCCGAAATCAGAGGATATTTGGATTAGAAAGACAAAATGAACCATTCCCCATTTCAAATACTGAGGAGCAGCTAAGTACAATTTTGCTAACTCATTCAAGTTTTCTTTCCAGGGGAATATTTCACATCTTCCAACTTGTTATTTTTATTTTTGCTTTTAGGTAGGAAACTTCCATTTCTAGGATGCTAACTCATTCAAGTTTTCTTTCCAGGGGAATATTTCGCATCTTCCAACTTGTTATTTTTATTTTTGCTTTTAGGTAGGAAACTTCCATTTCTAGAAACAAAAGAATTCAAATTCTGCTTTCTCTCTGCCTACAGGACCAACTCTCCATTGTCTCTTAGGGAAGATAACCTTCCCTCCAAGCAGAGACATGAATGGGAGAGGAAATGTAAGCCCTTAATTTCTACAGATGTTACTTTATGGAATTTTTATTCCAGGAGAGCACCAGAATGAAAAGCTTATGCCCCAGGACCCCCTCCCTGCTCAATCTCTCTCCGGGTACTCATCTAGATAAAAGGCAGTTAAGAATCTAAAGCTTCTTTGCCAGGGTCCTACAAATCAAATCCTTCCTCTTTTGTCTTGAAAATGACATGGAATTCTAAATGAACACTGAAGCTGGATGGGGGTTAGTTGCGTGTGAGCTTGTGAACGCCACGTGGTAAGACTTCGGGACTGCAGAGGAAGCCAAAGAAGAAAGACAGGGGCTTCCTCCCGTCCACCCACCTGGTTTGAAAGGCTCACATCTCCCCTTCTGGATGCGAGAATGATGGTCTTTTCTCGAGACTGTTTTCCAGCACCATCAAGCCATGTGGGGGCTGTTGGTGTAAACACAAGATGCCAGCACAGAGCGCTCACTCTGGCTTCACTCGGATTTAACTAAGTCAATGTCTGCAGGAGTCTTTA